TTGCCGATGCCCTAACCATAATCTTTTGGAGTTCTCTGGATTCAGGAGTTGTGCGTCTGGATTGGAAATTTGCGTACATCGCTCCACTCTTTCAGAAAAATGACAGAGAGAAACCAAGGAATTACAGATCAGATAGCCTAACATCTGTGGTGGAGAAATTGTTGGATTCTATAATCAAGAATAGGGCAACTGGTCATTTCTGACAAACCTGGTGGATATTTTTTGAAGAGGTGACGAAGGTGGTGGATAGAAATAAGTCAATGAATATTGTTTATATGGACTTCCAGAAGATTTTTGATAATGTCCCACATGAGACTGTGAGTCCACAAATTACTGACATGGACAGGGAAAGGTTTGAGTGGTAGCAAACAGACAGTTGAAATAATGGGTAAGTACTCACGTTGGCAGGATGTGACTATTGGTGTTTTGCAGGGATCTATGCTGAGGCCTCAATTATTCACAATGTTCGTTAATGACTTGGATAATGGTGTAAAAAGTAAAATATCTAAATTTGCTAATGGCACAAAATTGGGTGACATTTTAGACAATATTGACAACAGCATTAAATTAGAACAGTATATTGATAGATTAGGTGAATGGGCAAAGCTGTGGCAGATGGCTTTTCCTAAAACAAGTATGAAGCCATCCATTTCAGAACGCAAAAGGATAGATCAGGATTTTTTTTAGAAGGCACAAAGTTAAAAATAGTGGATGTCCAATGAGATTTGGGTGTTGCCATGAAAAGATGCAGAAAATATTCAAGAAGGCTAATGGAATGCTGGCTTTCATATCTAAAGAGCTGGAGTAGAAAGTTGCATGCATTATGTTGCATTTATATAAAACTCTAGTTAGACCTAATTAGACACCTTAGGAGGCTCCTAAGAGCATTTCTGATGAAGGGTCTAGGCCCGAAACATCAGCCTTCCTGCTCCTACGATGCTGCTTGGCCTGCTGTGTTCATCCAGCTCTGCACCTTGTTATCTTAGACACCTTAGGAAGGATGTTTTGGCTCTGGAGGGAGTTCAGTGCAGATTTAGAAGGATTATACTGGACTTAAGGGGTTATGAGGAGAGATTAGTTAAATTAAGCCTTTATTCTCGAGGATTTAGGAGATGATCTATTTAAGTTCTTCAGGATATTAACAGGGAAAGGCAGAGTATGTAAAGATAAACTATTTCCAGTGGTGGAAGATTCTCGAACGATGGGATATGCCCTAATTCTTAGACTCAGGTCATTGAGGAGAAATGTTAGAAAGTACTTCTACCTGCAAAAGCAGCAGGAGTTTGGAACTCTCTTCCTCAAAGGTAGTCAATGCTAATTCAATTGTTACATTTTTTTGTTTCTTTATTTAAGAAGGGTGGCAGGGATAATGCAGCTAATTACAGGCTGGTGAGCCTTATGTCTGGGGTAGAGAAATTATTGGAGAGGATTCTTCCACTTGGAAATAAGTGGGTGTATTAGTGAGAGGCAACATATTTTTATGAAGGGGAGGTCGTGTCTCACTAACTTGATTGAGTTTTTTGAGGAAGTGACGAAAATGATCGATGAAGGTAGGGCAGTGGATATTGTCTACATGGACTTCAGTAAGGCCTTTGACAAGGTCCCTCATGGCAAACTGATACAGAAGGTAAAGTCACGTGGGATCAGAGGTGAGCTTGCATGATGGATAAAAACTGGCTCAATCATAGAAGACAGAGAGTAGCAGTGGAAGAGTGTGTTTCTGAATGGAAGGCTGTGACTAATGGCGTTCCTCAGGGATCAGTATTGGGACCTTTGCTATTTGTAATATATGTAAATGATTTGGAGGAAAATGTAACTGGTTTGATTAGTAAGTTTGCAGATGGCACAAAGGTTGGTGGAATTGCAGACAGCAATGAGGACCGTCAGAGGATACAGCAGGATATAGATTGGTTGGTGACTTGAGCAGAGAGATGGCAGATGGAGTTTAATCCAGAAAAATGTGATGTAATGGATTTTGGAAGGTCTAATCCAAATGGAAAATATATAGTAAATGGCAGAACCTTTAAGAGTACTGATAGGCAGAGGGATCTGGGTGTACAGGTACACAAGTCACTGAAAGTGGCAATGCAGGTGGAAAAGTTGGTCAACAAGGCATACGGCACGCTTGCCTTCATTGGCTGGGGCACTGAATTTAAAAATTGGCTGGTAATGTTGCAGCTTTATAGAACCTTAGTTAGGCCACATTTGGAATATTGCGTTCAATCCTGGTCGCCACACTTCCAGAAGGATGTGGTGGCTTTGGAGAGGGTACAGAAAAGATTTATCAGGATATTGCCTCGTATGGAGGGCATTAACTATGAGGAGAGGTTGAAGAAACTTGGGTTGTTCTCACTGGAACAACAGAGGTTGAGGAGTGACCTGATAGAGGTCTACAATGTGAAGGGCATGCACAGAGTGGACAGTCAAAAGCTTTTTCCCAGGGTGAAAGAGTCAGTTATTAGGGGGCATAGGCTTAAGGTGCGAGCAGCAAGGTTTAAAGGTGATGTACCAGGCAAGTTTTTTATGCAGAGGGTCGTGGGTGCCTGGAACACGCTGCGGGGGGAGGTAGTGGAAGCAAATATGATAGTGACTTTTAAGGGGCATCTTGACAAATACATGAATAAGATAGGAATAAGAGGGATACAGTCCCCGGAAGGGTAGGGGGTTTTAGTTGTGATGGGCAGCACGTCGGTGCAGGCTTGGAGGGCCGAAGGGCCTGTTCCTGTGCTGTAATTTTCTTTGTTCTTTGTTCTTTTTCTTTGTACTTTGTATTAAATCTGAGTAAGGCAAGTTTTTATTAAGCAAGGGTATCAAGGAGTATGTGCCCAAGGCAGGCCTATGGGGTTAGGCCACAGATCAGCCATGATTTTATTGAATGGTGGAGCTGGTTCGCAGGCTGAATGACCTATCCTGTTCCTATGTTCCTGATTTTCCTACTACTTAAATTTGTAATGAATCTTCAGTCTGAGTGTTACAGTTAAAGGAGGACTTTTGTTTCACTTTAAAAGAATTTATGGCTGCAATAAAAGCTGGTCATTGACTCTCTGAAACAATATCGTTAACAACATTGGTCATAGAGTCATAGAGGTCAACAGCATGGAAGAAGGCCCTTCAGTCCGTCGCATCCATACTGGTCAAAAACAGCCACCTAACTATTCTAATTACATTTTCCAGCACTTGGCCCGTAGCCTTGTATGCCTTGGCATCACAGGTGCACATTTAAATACTTCCTTAAATGTTACGAGAATTTCTGCCTCTACCACCCTTACAAGCAGTGACTTCCAGATTCCCAACACTCTCTGGATGAAAGATTTTTTACTCATATGCCCTCTAAACCTCCTGCCCTTGCCTTAGATCTATGTAGCCAGTCGTCATTCCATCCACCAAGGGGAAAAGTTTCTTCCTGTCCACCTGTCTATGTCCCTCAATTTTCGACATCTCAATCATGTCCCTGCTTAGCCCAGGCAACATCCTGGTAAATCTTTTCTGTAACCTCCTATCATGTGGATTCCAGATCTACACATAACACTTTAGTTGTGGCCTAACCAACATTTTACATAGTTCCAGCATAACCTCCCAAATAAGAAAAGGAGTAGGCCATTTAACCCCTGAACCTGCTCCACCATTCAATTGGATCATGGCTGATCTGACGTTCCTCCAGTTTACTTTCTGCATTTTCCCAATAAAACTAAAAACTCAGTATGGACATCCTTCCTCACTTGGTAACAGTAACTTCGACCGATAACAGTAAGAACCATTGGCGGCAGAAACTCTACCCCAAGGCATCTCAGATGGTTCCAATGAACATGACCACAACATGTATGATGCTGCCAGAAGGGCAGATGTCACCATCTATACCAATTTTTGCCGGCTCTATTGTACTGAATCCTAAGTCACATCTCCAGTTAGATTATAAATTTGAGCATTGTTGAGCAGAATATGTATTAACTAGTATATATTAATGTGATGGCTACATATGGTCCAAAGATAAGTGGACACAAAGTACTAAAATGTGATATTTGTATAAAATATGCATTAATTAGAGGAATAAGCTTATAGTAATGTCTTAAAAAACAAAACATAAGTCTTGTCTGATTTTTAATTTACGTAATTCGTAGATAGTTTCAGAATCTTGTAGAATTTTTAGAGAAGGATTTGTTTCAAAATCATAGAAAACAATGTGCGGTGAAAGGAATTGTTGGTTTCAAGTAAAAGAGAAAGAAGTATTTTTATTTTAAAAAGTGTTGCTTTTATTACGCATTGACATTTTTTTTTAACTGAAAACTTCTTTCAATGGTAGAAAGATATGCAGATCATAAGCATTAGGTACATATCACGGTAGTCCTGATTGACCACTTCATAATATAAAATCTTCATGACACAAGTAGTTGCATTATTCAATAAACATTTCTATTTGTAATATTTGACTTGCTGGATTTTTTTCTAGCTCATAAATTATGCAGTTGGTTAGCATTGTGCGCTATCTTTTGTACAGTATTCTATATGACAGTTGACAGCCAGAAGAACTAAATCATTTGCTAGTGACAAACACCAATTTCTGATTGTAAGCATGATCATGACACATGCAGCATTTCTGTTTTCCCTCTAATCCTTATTTATATGCTGAAATGCACACAGAGGATTATTGCATTTTCTGCCTCCCGACTTTGGGTAAAAGTCAATGAGGTTGTACATGATACTTGAGTTTTTTGCATTTCTTATAAATTTTCAGTTGGAGACAATTATTCCTTGTATATTATTGAAAATGAAAAGGTTCTACTTTATTTACCCACTTTCCCTGGAAATTAAACTAATGCAGTTTGACAATGCAATTATATGGCATTATCAAATATTGTTCAAATATTCCCATTTTTCACATACTTCATATCCCAGCATAGCTATAAAATTCAACAGTCAGCATTTCTGTGCCTAACTTTTTATGAAATGTCAGCATGATTTATTTTAACCCTTCATGTGGCACTTCCTTCTTGTTTTGACAGATGCTATGCTCTTGGTAGCGGAAAGGTTGGAAGGACCTTTCAACATTGAAGCCGTCCTGGATCCAATTGATTTGAAGATTTCTGATGCCATCATGAATATGCAAGATCACAGCTTGCAAGTGTCAGCTAAGGTAAAGACTCTGAAGCTGTTTTCTGGATTAATATTACATGAAGATAACCTTTCTGTTACCTTTGCATTTACGAACAGACCTCAATAGAAGTCCAACTTAAAAGTAGGCTGGAACATCCCTTTTAGCTAAACATTCTGTAGCAGGTCCTCTGGCAGCAGGCGGGAGGACTGTGCTGGGCAGGGGTACTAGTTGACCCGGCCTTGCAGGGCGCAGTGTCTTTAGCGGACCAGGGGTGCAGGGCCTGATGCCATGAGGTAGTAGTGAGAGAGCAGCAGCAAGGAGCAAGAGCAGAAATTCAGGACTTATGAATTGCAGTGCGACAGCTCAAAGCCTGTGATGTTGGTGAGTGAGCTGGAAAGGGGAATCTGGCATACAACTGTTAGAGACTTGGTAGGGATGCCTGGATGGTATTTCTAAGTCTGAAAAGCCCCAAAGAGAGGACAGCCCCCCTAGTTGGCTAGGAGATGAGGCAATCTGGTTTACACGGTCATGGATATTTACAATAGGGGATCCACCAACTGCTCTGTACCCTGCTGATGAACTGAGCTCTCAGTAGCTTCCTGGTGTCCCAGAGTGTTGGTCACAAATGTCCTTACACCATTTGTCTGTCAGAATTAAGGTTTTCCATGAATAATTTGTGAAGAGTTTTAATGATTGATTTAAGGCTCACTTTTCTTTGACCTTGATGCACTTTGTGTGCTTGAACCTTCAGTCCCATTTTGGTGCCAAGGTGGCTTTTGAGAAGTCAAACATCAAATATTGCTGCAGGAAATAGGAAAGTGTCTGGCTGAGATGAAGCAAGTGGTTAAACCAATGTGTCAGAAAGGTAGGCTGACATAGCTGTAGTTCTAACAAGGGCACGGGCTTCATGGATGAAGTTGGGTTTCTACTTTGTCCTACTTGACACAAATAGAGGGTGTGCAGAATTACCTATCATGAATATCCTATCTGCCCACATTTAGAGGATAAGACAAGTTTGGGGAGAAATTGAAAAATGTCCATTGATCTTACGGCCATGGGCCAAATCAAGGATTTTCAGCTGATCATGTCACTACTGGAGGTGGCAGTCATGATAGAACATATGTTTGGGAAGGCTCACCATGAAATGCACAGGTGAGGTACGGATGTCCACAGAGAATCTTTCAGGTACTAAAGGGATTTTCTGGGCACAAGCAAGGCAAAGGAGAGAACCTGTTTCCCATAAACCGTGAGGGCTGGTAAAGCTGTTTGACTTCATCATCTTCCTGGGCTTCTCTGTTAAACCAACCAAGGACAGGTAGCTGAACCGTTGCCTAGTTGAAACACTGAGAGATAGAAGCACCAAGATGGAACTGAAGAGACAAGGCAGTGACCAACTCTGAGTGTCGTTTGATTCACGTGATTACATTATCAGGGCCACAGGGACAGAACAGACAACTATATCAGAAAGGAGTCCACTGTCAGGGAGGTACCTGTAGGTGTGGAATGGAATGTAGATCCAGGCTGAAGAGGCAGGCAGAACAGATTACTGTACAGTCAGTTCTGCTATAACGTGTGCTTCTGCAACACAAATTGGCCTTAACCTGTTTGAAGAATTTAGATATGTAGAATGCAAACTTTCCTTACCTGTATTGGCTATAACGTGATTCTGGCACCATTAGTTTAAATGGCATGGCTATTGCGCGATTTTCTTATAGGGCGAGATCACATGAGAACAGAACTATCGTGTTATATTAGAACTGACTGTACTGAAAGGGCAGATCCAGTCCTAGCAGTCTTATCTTCACAATAAGTTTTTGGTTGAGCCTTCTGAGGGATACTCCAAAAACATGTTGAAATGATAACAGTGTGCTACCGTCAACACACAGACATAAGGTATGGTAGGCCTCCGGTGCTATACCATTCCTCCACCCTCACCAGACAATGGAAACACGGAGACCCTGAGCTGGAATATTGACCAGAAAATTGAGAGAGAATTATGGCTGCTATTGCATCCAGACCTGAAGCACGTGGCAGCATCCACATCTCAATCCCCTTTGGAATCCAAGCAGAGAGTCTTCAAAGTATCACCATTGCGCTTCTGAAGGAGATCCCAATCAAGTCTGGAAGGATAGAGGAATGCATGGTCTCACCATTATTATCCATCAGTCAACTTCACTTCTACTCAAAAGCTAAACTTTCTTTGCTGCCCAGTGACAGGATACCAACAGGCACATGTAGCAGAATCAGGAAGAAAGGCGGCCTTCTGTGTTGGCTGATCCATGAGAACAGGAGAGATTTCAACAACTTATCCTTCCTTGGAGTTTCAACATCACGTGTTGGAAGCTGACTGCAAACAGGTAGCAGACCAGTTATCAGGAAAGACAGTTCCACCAGCAAGATCATAGTGTTACTGAACAGGAAAGGCTTCTATTCCATGAATGTCCAGTTATGTGTGACCACAGGACTCTTGTCTTGGTCTGCACTGTGTTCCCAGGCGCCTATCACTGTGTCTTTAAGAATTTGAAGTACTACACCTTTTCAAGTCAACACCCAGACTCTATGGTGGCTGCTGAGGGGTAAGGTTCACCCCCTGAATATGTCTTTCCTAACAAATATAGCACTTAGACACAAACACAGAGTGACATTTCAACCAGAGCCATTAACTAACACTCCCTGCATTGAACAGACCATTGACATCCTGAAGATGCATTTCATTTCCCTTGACCAGTCGAGTGTTGATCTCCGGTGCGTGTCAGTCAGGGTATATTGTAGTGTGATCATCTGCTATGTGCTGTACAGCATGATTATACAGAACCAAGATGTCTGGTGCAGGATGAAGGAACACCATTCACCTTCAGGAGAAAAAGAAGAAGAAGTGGAGGAAAAAGAAGATAAAGGAGGTATTGAAGGAAAAGAGCAGGGAAGTTCCAGGGCTAATGGCAATCCTCAGGTTAGCATGGATGTAAGGGCCTTGGCAAATTTAGCAATGTTGTACCCAAGCTACTCCCAGCCCCTGGTACAGGCAAGCCTATAACTCTCAAATTGGGTGGCACAGTGGCTCAGTGGTTAACGCTGCTGCCTCACAGTGCCAGGGACCTGGGTTCAATTCCACCCTTGGGCAACTGTCTGTGTGGAGTCTGCACATTCTCCCCGTGTCTGCATGGGTTTTCTGCGGGTACTCCAGTTTCCTCCCACAGTCCAAAGATGTGCACGATAGGTGGATTGGCCATGCTAGATTGCCTGTAGTGTTCAGAAATGTGTAGATTAGGTGGGTTATAGGGGGATGAGTCTGGGTGGGATGCTCTGTGGTTCGGTGTGGACTTGTTGGGCCGAAGGGCCTGTTTCCACACTGTAGGGATTCTATGATCTATGAAAATTACACGGCATACTAGTCTGAATAATCCCATTGCAAACCAAACTGACTGAAATTTGGATCTCCTTTGCCAACAGTCTACCCCAGAGCAGACCACAGCACCATGGTTAACACACCTCTTTGTTGCCAGCTCCACCTATTCCAGTGGGATAACCTCAGTAATGCCCTGTTCAACTGCACTCTGTATGTTACTGTTGCTCAATGCTGTGACTGGCTACTTGATTTGACAAAATTGAGGAGAACAGTGCAGACAAACAGACAGACACACACACACACGCACACGCACACGCACACACTCACGCACACACACACACACACACTCATGTGTAAGACAGTATCCGCAAAGATACAGGCCTATCAATCAGGTGTCGCATACCACTCACCTTTCCAGACCTTGGAATATCATTTACTTTCTGTAATGCACTCACATCCTGTCGACACCCATCACCTTTTCTATGAATGCCGTCTTTGTTTTCCTGGTGGATTATTTCTTCCAGATATCAGGAACAAAATATCTCTCCTGTTGGACACTGCAACTGTTACAGCATTGAAATTTGTGGCACCATCCTGGGACCACTGCCCAAGCCAGTGCTGGCACGCTGTGATGTCTGCCTTTCCATCCTCTCTGTCAAAACTTTGCCCAGTCATGGACATTGTTAATCTTGTCAAACCATTTCCACTGGTTTTCTTTTCTCATTGATTCTTGCATTGGATATGAGCATCAATAGCAACGTCAGCATTGTTACCCATCCCTAACTGTTGTTAAAATGATTGTCTTCTCAGGTCATTGCAAATGATACGTAACCACATTCCTGTGTGTATGAAGACAAATGTGAGGAAGGGTGACAAATTTTCATCTCTAAAGAACATTAATGAAGCAGGTGTTTTGTTTTCACCACAATTGACATGATCGCCATCACTGAGATTAGCTTTCTATTCCAAATGTATAAATCAAATTTACATTTCACCAGCAGCCATGGTAAGTTTCAAACCTATTCTTCCAGAGCAGTTAACCTAAGATTATGGATTGCTAGTGACATTGCACTAATGAAATTATCAATAAACCAGCATCACCCCGACTAAACTGGGACTGTTCCCAGCATCACTACCTGGACATCAAACCTGGCCCCATGTCAGTTCAGCATTTTTAACATTGTAAAACAATGTTAAGTCATGTACATTATGAAACATAGTTTTACGATTAGGAACTGTTACAGGCATCAGGTTCCCATTCTCAGATTTAATATTCAGCTGTGATTTCAATGAAACCTGTGAAATTCTTAAAGGCTGGAAGTGAAGACAGTTATAATATGGAAGGGCAAAATGTGTCAGTGCAGGTTTGGAGGGCTGAAAGGCCTGTCTCTGTGCTGTATAGTTCTTTGTTCTTTGTTTGTTGACCCAATGGGTAGATGCTGGTGTGATGTTTTCTCTGGTTGGTTAGTTAAAAACTTCGAAGTCAGACTTTAAGAATTGGGGATCAAGTCGCAACCAGTAGAGCTGTTGATGCTCATTCAACGAGTGTTTCCAAGTCAAAAGTTGGTCAATATTTGATTATTAAAGGCACAAAGGGATATGGGGAAGGTGAGAGAAAGTGGAATTCAGACATAAGAACAGATATGATCCTGCTGAATGATGTTCAGAGGACTGATCAACCTACTCCAGCTCC